AGCTGCCTAGACCAGCCAGATTGTCTGGCTGAAAATTAATTGGGATATTTGGGGACAAGGTTGCTTGTTATTATCAGAATTATATGGCTGATCCAGCTGACCTGTGACCATGTCAGCGCCAGCGCAAGGGAGCTGCTGGAAACGGTGAGTGGGGAAGGTGGGACTACGAGCTGCGCAGTCTCAGTTTGTCTTGCACTGATGGGGAAACTGCGTCTTGAGTTGGTGCATCGCTTAATCTAATTTGTGAATTAGAGAGCTGACAGGCCTGAAAGACCTCTGCAGTTGAACTATTGAAGAGACTGATCATTGTGTGTTAATACATTTTTTTCAGTGTAGTTTCGCTTAATCCACAGGAATAATACGGTTCTGTCTACTGCATCTCTGCCATGAAGATGAGATAGCTGCCCCATCTGTCCCTAAGTTTGAAGGCTTTTCTGTAAAACTGATAGGTGTGATATCTGGATGGTAGTAAATTTGATCTTTTGCACCCCATTTAAATTAATTTCAAAATTGCTAATACAAAATTGCTTTTTGTAACTCTGCAATGAAATCATTTAGATGGCATTTGCAACAGTTTGTGTTTGGCATGATGTTTTCTAAATATTATTAATGATTTTCTAATAAGTTGTAAAAATACTGCACTGTAGTCCATTGACTTTTACTTGAAGTAACTAAAAGTTTACTTAAAGTTACTCAAAGTAACTGAGAGGAATATGTCATGCCTTCTATTAAATGAGTATTTTGCCTCACAGTAATGTCAACACCAACTATTTAAAAATTCTTGGCTCACATTCTAAAAAGTCACAAGACTTTTTAAAAATAGCAACATTTTAATTTTTTTTAGGCTGTTTGTGTAAGACCAAGTCGATAAGCGTCACAGTTAGAGATCTATTAAAAGGCTTAGACACAGAGGTGTGATCCTAGGGACTGATGCTTTAAGAAAAGCTCCACAAAACATGACATGAAGGGTAAATTTTTGAGCCTTTGCAGCAGATGCTTCAGTATGTTCTCAGATGTCTGAATGAAAAGGTAGTCCAGCCTCTTTGCTTGGGTAACTCTGACTTGGATGCTGTCCCACTCCAGGCCCAAACAAATCCCTGTCTGCTCACTAGGAGATAGCTTTGTGATTTCAATTTGATTCCACTTGAACAGTACCACTGTCATTTACCGTGTGGGGACTGTTGGGTGAGCGGTACTCACGTGGTTGCTGTTTTGAGTCAGGAGGCACCGTGCAGGAGTGAGCCTTTAAGAAATACTGTAGGTGCATTGAAACTGCTTTTGAAGAGATACAGTGCTCAGTGCAAGGAAGAGTATTTGGGCAGAGCCCCTAATGAGGCAGAAGCCGTGTTTTATATGCAGTAATTGCCCTTATTCCCCGGAGCAGTTTACAGCTTTTTGCCCAGTCTAGTTTGTCACAATTTTATTTCCCCAGTGCACGGGCTTAAAATGCACTTTTGAAGCATTTTCCTCGAATGTTTACGTTTAGAAAGTCTGTCCTTGAAAGCCAGAGTAAAGCCTGTGAGGAAGAGTGAGTGGGTGTTTAACATCTTCACACTAACCACTCCAGGGTTTTTTCTTTCAGAGGGTGATCTGTGGGGCCCTTTTCATATTACTGCCTGCTTAAAGTAAAGCTGCTTTCAGAGTAGCAAGCAGAGCAGGTCACAGATCCCTTCTGAACCTAATGAATCCCGTCGTTCAGCTGGCAGAGGGCCTGATAGGGAAGGGTTGGTTCCCCCTGTTGAGGGGCTGGGAGGTGATAATGCATCAGAAACCTGCTGCCTTAATTAGAAATGTTAGAGTTTGTGCTTTAAACTAACAGTGAGTGAGGTAGGATAAATCTGCAGATGTCAGGGGAATCGCTCCAGTTGTGCGCTCCTGCATGGTAAATAGCAGGGGGCACGTATGAGCAATTTGCATCTTTGCTTATTCCGCATTAGGGGTGGCTGGGATGGTGTTTGAGCTAGTATTTATCAGGGTCTTTAACACCGTTAACCTTCCTGCTTCCTCCTGTCTGTTCTGTTTTCTTCTAGCAATTTGTGTTTGTAGTTGCGCTCGAGCACGTTGCAGGGGAGCACGGGAGCTCCCAGCCCTCACTTCGCCGGCTGTTTGCTGTCGCGCCGTCCCCTCGCTTGTGCTGGCATGACTGGTTGGGAGTCGCACTGGGAGCAGGATCAGAGATCCCATGCAGCTTGAACTTCTTCCTCCTCCTTTTTCCTCCTTCCTTTTCCATGTGTGCTTGTGGAGTTTTCGTATGTGCTCTCATGTGTTCACTGATCTGCCTGACAGGCTGGAGGAGGAGGAGGAGGTGGGAAAGAGGTGGAGGCCCCATATAGCAGAATTATTGCTGTAACTGTGGGAGAATCAAATTCAATGGGATTATGCTAATTATTTGCAGGGCTTGCGAGAAAAGATGGCCGTTAACTGTGGAGCAGAAGAGGATTTAAGCAACCTTATCACTTCTCTTTTCGTAGGACAGGAAAAGAGGCCAGAAAGTGTTGCCTGTGGAACAGGGAGGGATTAGCTGTGGTGTGGGCAAAATCACAGTCTGCGCTAAGCAGAGCATCTCTCTTAAGTTGCTGGGGGTTAGTGGGTAACAAAGTTATGGAATCTGCAGTTCCCTTTTAGAGTTTCATGACGAAAAAAGAAATTCTAAATTCACTCCCATTTCCTCCTTTTTAAAAGGCTTAAGTGATACTTAACAATAATTTTATGTTAAATGTGAATCGAACTCTCTTGGGTGTACGAAAAGTGGTGCTTTGCCAGAAGAGAGGAAGGGTGTTGATGGTGACCTGCTAATGGAAAGTAAGGAAAAAAAAAACCTATCTGATAACAACTTGTTCTGCCTGTGAGATCATAAATTTTCTAACAGAACCACGTTATCCTAGGTTCTCAGTTATACAGATAGTTGTACACTTGAACTGCCTTGCTCTTGGTACATTGATACTTCAGCTTCACCAGGTTGGTTTCATGAAGGATTTTGCGTGTGTGCGTGTGCACATGCATGCCTTTTGCTTTAAAATCTCTTCTGTACCTTTTGGCCCCTCATGTTGTACAGAAAACTTTAACTTTGTGTATGTATGACTACTCCTGTGATTTCTAGCCAAAAACACCTACTCATACCTGAAAAGTGTTCATCATATTCTGAGGCAGATTGCAGTGGTTGGAAGTGATCTTGTCAGTTGAAGGAATAACGTACCTGTTCCATTCTTATGGATACTTGAGTGCACATATTTTATAGATTTCCTACTTTCCTACTGTAAGACTTAAGTAAATCTTGAATTTTGGGTATAGGAAGCATTTGCTATTCCAAAAGATTTCTGATTCGTGTTGCCAGACTTTAATCTCCTTCCTGTTCGATACTAAATATAATTAAAAGTATATTCTTTTATTAAAACCCTAAATATTGTTATTATTTAAAGCAATTAAAACAGGAGAAAGAGCTTAAAAAATGAACATCCGAAAGGAGTATACTTCAGTTATAAGGAAGAAAAAAAGGCCTATGGGGTGCATTTGGGAAAACATACAACTGAAAGTCTTTTTTAAAGATAAGACTCTATTATGATGGGACGTTTGGAAGGAAAATAAGACTCCTTTTCTGCTGAGAATGCGCAGTGACATATCACTGATAGAAATATTTTCTAATGTGGCTTTGCTAGCTGTGTGGACGGGGGCCAAGCCACTTTTGAACTGTTCCTGAAACCAGACAAATAGGCATTGTTTATCCTAGACTAGCCAGACTACTTCAGAGAACAGTTCGGTGAGAGCAACATTCATTTCTAGTCTTAAATAGTTTTCAGAATGGCTATAGAGGAAAGACATTTTCCATCCGTGCTCTTTTTAACTGTGGTTCTTATTGTCTCCTCCTCCTCTTCTCCACATGCCTGCTTCTTCATGCCACTGGCGAACTGCAGGCATCAGCCGTTGCCGTGCAAGTGCTTGTGGAGCCAAACCGGGCTGACAGATAAACTGGTAGAGTTTGCATGCTGCCTGCCTGCTTCAGGCATAGGGAGACTAGTGTTAAATAAAAATGCCCTCTCTTCTCTAATAATAGCCCTGCTGTTACTACTACTGGCGAAAGCTGCCGTGGAGGGTTCCTGGAAAAGGCTCGATTAGTATATCTTTCTGTTGTATTGAAGATACTGTATTTAATTTGAACCAGATATAGTCTGTTTATTTTTAGTTATTCATAAGAGTATTCAGCGCTTTCAAAGACTTCTCACCAACAAGTATGCTATCTGTTGTGCTTTAAAAAAAAAAAAAAAGCCCTTTTCTGAAGTAGTTTTGTTTTGGTTCTTTGAACTCCTCTGTAGCTTTGTATATGTGGCAGGTTATTAATATCTTGCCCACACTTTTAAACAATGATAATCTGAAGTTACTTTTGTTTTTTACCTGCGAAAATAGTAAGGGCTACCATTTCTGTGTTAAATAAGACCTCCAGAAAAGAAGCTACAAAAACCTTAGTCTTACCAAGAAAACAGATGATTTGGCAAACGGAAACATTTTTCAGTCCTTGTGTATCAACAGATTTTTGGTCGTGTTGTCTTCCTGTCTAACCCCACCCACCAACTCATTACTGAAAATGCAACCTCAGCTGAAAGTGAAGATAAGTTGTTAAATAATTGTTAACAATATTTAGCAAAGGAGGTGTAGGTTTTTCCTGGACTGTGCAAATTTTGTTAATTTATAAGAATGTTGAGTCATTAGGTGCTAAGTAATCTGAGAACGTGAACTTCAACACACAATCAAGAGGACAAGTGGCTATTAAAATTAGCTTTCTATCTTTGCAAAGATAGGAGAGCTGTATCCTGGTCTTCATTAGAAGGATCGGAGTATGGTTGTATACTCCAGGAGTTTTGCACAAATTTCTGTAAGATAACCTTGGGGAAAAATGAACTTGGCAAGCACTGTACAGTATGTAGGGAATCTCTGCGTGATGTTACTTAGCTGTTTTCTCCTTGAGACATTAACCACATTGTAATATTTTTTTTTCCCTCATTAAGCCAAGGACCCTTGTCATCCATAAGAGCAGCAATCAAGAGATGTAAGTCTATTTTTTCCTCTACTTCTTGAGAATCATAATATTGTAAGATTGTTCCATCTTCGTTTTTAGATGAATTGGTTAACTTCATATGTGAAAAGACAGTAGCTGACAGGATTTTTGGGGACTGTAACTCTTTTTTGTTTGCTTTCCTTCCTTTTTTTTTTTTTTCCTTTGCTGATGGGCTGTTCCCTCTCGCCAGTTACTAACGTTTTCTTAATTGTGCACTAGTACTGAAGTGAACATCTCTAACCCTGGGTGGCACATACCCAATTTTAGTTCACTTGGTAAAACAGAAGCTTGTTCCATGTCAGTAGAAATCTGCCGCAACTGTTTATTGACTCTACTGGGGACAGAATTGGACATGAGACACCAGACTCATTTTGGAAAATAAAAAATTGTTTCTAAATCTTGAATGAAAGACCAATCCCTTTTTCCCTGATTTCATTGTTTGTCTCCTCTTTCTCTCTCCCCGATCATGATGTTTCCAGGCAGAGAATTTTTTCATCTGCATCTTCCAAAGTATGCTATTCCTTTCTTCCCCTTTTCATTTTTGTTTCATTTCTGTCCGTGTTTTCCATTTCATGCTAATAAAACAGCTCTGAGGATTTTGTTGTATATGCACAGCTGATCTGTTTCTCCTGGACCTGGGGCTTATTAGCATGGATTGGGTTGGAGGCAGTCAAAGGGGATCATGAAAGCTTTATTCAGAGCAAGTCTACATGATGCTGTAATTAAAATACAGTACTTTATCTGTGCTATTGTTGCCATACGTAGGAAACTGGAAAACAGAGAGCACCAGATCACAGAAGGCCTTTTAGAGTGGAGTTGGGAACAGATTCTAGACTCCCTACGCCCTAGTCTCTGGTCTAACTGTGAAACCGTCTAAAAGACCATTAAACAATTGATACGTACATTTTTGAAAATATAGTAACAAGTGATACCTTGTTTTGAGGCACACACAGGTAAAGAAGAAGTATCTAGTCAAGATGCCCTTGCTCACAGATGTTATAACATATAGGTAATAATATTAGTATGTGAATAACTATGATGAAATATAAATACTATGTGAATTATTCAGATGATAAGCTAGAGAAAAACTCCCTTCGTATTTTGAGACAGAGTACATGAAACCATAGTTCTATGTATACCAGTAGCGATACCTATGGAGATATCTAAATTAAAATTGGACCCAGAAAAATTCCTAACTCCACTTGCCATTACTTTGAAGTATGGTATTTTCCGGAAAAATGTGTTTCCTTTATAGAGTTAGAAATCTGTTTTTATTTCTTAATCACAGCTGCTGTGGGCTATTTAACTCTGATTTTCAAGACACGTGATAGGTGTCTGCAGGGTTTCAACTTTCCAACCTGTGGACATGGCTTAAAATTACTTAGTACTCTTAGGTCTCTCCCGCTTTTCTGACCAAAGAGGAAGACGGACTCTTTTTCTTCTTCCACCCTGACTACAGCTGCGGTTAGAAAGGTGTCATCTACTTTTAACTGTTTGACAGCTCAGCAGGATTCCTTTTCCTGAGACAAAAAGAATATATTATGTTATGAAGTAAGACTGAAAACGTAACATTACAAGGTAACCCCTTCCCTCATTTTCTTCTTCTCTGTCCAAACCACTGTAATTGCTCTAATAGTTTGCAGTAAAAGCTGTATCTATTGCATACTGACAGGAGGCCTCCACACTGATGGCTGCTTCTGAACACTATTAATACAGTATGCACCACAGAGAAAATTTTCAGAAAATGCATTATGTGTATAAGAACTGTGCGGTGTAAGAGTTCAACAAAACACACAGTCTGGAGAAACATGAGCCCAAGAAAACAAGCATGTGGAAATGAGATGTGCTTGGGAGTCATTTTCTAGTCTAAACTCTTCAAAAGGTACCTCTACATTTTTAATGATGGTCTCAGCCGAGCACACACCACTAAATCCAGCTCCCACTGAAATCAGTGGAACTATTTCGGTTGCCTTAAGAAACAGCATCACGCACATTGGTGCCAAAGGAAGGAAAAACATGCAAGCCAAATGCTGCAGCGGTGAGCCAAGGTGGAGTGGTGTTTGCACTCAGTTATCCACTGCTAGGTGGCATTAAGTAGCAAGGCTGCTGAAGCAAGTCTGCTGCTGTAAAAGTTTGGAAGAAACTGCAGGTTTGTTCCATTCTCGTTCTGCCCTAAGCAAATACATGGCTGAAGGATGTGTAAGAGCTTGTCCTGGAGACCACAGTACATGCTCTGAGGCTGTAGCTTCCCATTTGGCATTTTTGCAGCAGTTTTTGGCTGTGGGCTTGGTTTGTTTTTCATTTTAGTTTTGTTTTGCTTGGGGGTTTCCTGGGTTCTTTTGGCTCCCACTTTTTCCCCAGCCAGATCAATTGCGTGACCTCATTCCCTCCCCATCTGCACAAACATTTGGGCTGGCATAATGCAGGGAGTGGTGCAGAGGCAGCACCATGCAGCCCAGGGAAAGGCGGAGGAAGGAGTCAAGTGTCTTCATTAATCATTGCTGTCTAATTTGTGTGAAATGGCAGGCTTGCTCTTAGGGTGTAGTTATGCAGACTTTATAATAATAATAACAGCAGCGAGAGGCAGGAAATGGAGACGGCTGTTGAGTGGCACGTTCCCTCCCTTGTGCTGCTGGTGGTCTGAACGTATGGGGAGCAGGTTCAGGGAGATAAAATGGTCAAAAACTAACCTCACAGGAAGTGGTTAGTTTTATATGTGTTTAGCACTCTGAACTCGTTTACTGTGGGGTCAGGTGAGTGCTAATGTTAGTTCAGGAGAGGGAACAAAAGTCGGTGATTGGAAGGGGGATTGGTTGGCACCATCTCTTTTAGCTACACCCAAGCATTAATTAAATCAGCCTAGCTATAATGTCAGACAACCCTCCTAGTTCCCTGCAGTGCCTAGAAGCAGAACTAAGAGAAAAGGAGCAAGACCTCCCCCTTGTGCCAAGAAAGAGTTCAGGAGAAAAGCTTCAGCTCTTCTCTTTCCAGAGTTCTATGAAAATTTCCAGTTTGTTTGAAACTGCACTTCTACCGCTTCTACATAAATTGTCCAGTCAGATCTTGGCTGGTTTTGTTTGTTTGTTTGTTTTGGCTTGAGGGGTACCGTATCAATTTAGCTTTCCCTGAAGAAGGTATCTCTTGCAGATATATGACATGTTCAGTATTGCAAAAACAGCAATTGTGGCCTCTTACCTGGATCCTTTCTGTCACCTCTTTTGGTGTATTACTTTGTAGGTAAGGGAAGGAGCAGAAATAATGCTTTATTCTTTCCATTTGCTTGCTCTAGAGGCTTTCTCTTAGGTACTGTAATAACTAATCTTTATTTCAAGGCAGATGTGCAGTGAGAAAAATAACTTATCAGTCTAATATTCTGCATATTGTATAGGATTGATGGTAGAGATGTCTAGTCTCGTATTGAAAAAGCATTGAAAGAAGCTGTTTTTCTTAAAATACTCTCATATATCCTTGTTGCAGGAAGTAATATTATTACTTTAAATTAGTAATTTAAATATATAGAAGTACTTTCAAAGTCCCACAGGACAAAATAGCATGTAGAATTTATCTAGAAATGAAGATGGAACGAAAGAAGTTGGCAGGTTTATCAGTTCAGTTGTACATCCCTCATTAACTGGTTTTAATTTCTAATGCCATTATCTTTGTAATTTGGATGTACCCCAAGCAGCTGTATTGAATACGTTTATCAAGTGAACGCTGTCTTCCATCCTTCTTGCAAAAATAAACTTGAAGAGGTTGGCTTTCTCCCTCCCCACCCCCAATGAGTGGGTAATATCAATGCTGTGTGCGTGGAAAAGAAAGTGAAGCTGAGGTGTCGTTTAGGTACAAGGTGGTTTTTGTTTTTGTTTTTTTTTTTAGTCAAATGATTTTTATGGAGCTGGATTAGGAGACACGGGATTATGCCAGAAATTCTTGAGACTTTTCCGGCATACCTGCTGCCTCCTAGGTGGATCAGCAAGCCTGAGCACGCTTCTCTGAGAGGTGTGAGTACGAGTGGTGGGATCCCAGCCTCATGGGATCTGGGTCACATGCCCCCCCCCCCCCTTTTTTTGCCCTTTTTTTGGAACGGGAA